ATGATCACTTCTTTACGCTCATCCCCACCTACATGTGCTCACCCACTTCTACTCACTCTCTTGCGCTCACCCTACACCTGTGCTCATCCCGTTTGCTAGTCCCCCTGAATTACATACCCTGTGCTCAACAAGTTGTGCTCAACCGCTTGTGCTCACCACCGTAGGCTGACCCGACATCTCTGCTCTCCCTCCTGTGCTCACTCCCCTTTTCTTACCATCCCCAGGGATCACCATTCCGCTGTGCTCACCTCTCGTGTTCTCATTCCTCTTTGAGAAGCTCCCTCCTTGTGCTTTCACGCCCACCGTGCTCATCCCCCTGATCTCAATCCCCGCTTCTCACAGTCTTCACACTATGGTCACCCCCACCCCGGGCTCAACGTCTCTGTGTTGCCAGGCCAGTGCGCGCCCAGCCCATTTTCCTCCCACTCTCATGGATAGCGCTCACCCGCTTGTGCTCCTACCCTCCCTATGCTAACGCCCACCCTACTGTGCTACTCCCTGTGATCAACCCATTTGTACTCAATCTGCACCAGTGCGCAGCCCCAGCTGTGATCACCCCAGTGTGCTCACCCTACCTGAGCTGCCGCTTTGTGCCTCCCTGGGCTCACCATTACCCCTGAGCAGTGGGGGTGAGCAGAGGGGTTAAGCTCACTGCGTGATGTTATGCTATGAAAACCCCACTATACTCACCGCCCTGTGCGCACCCGCTGTGCTTCAAGTCTATGATGACCACCCCATGCTCGATTACCCTGTGCTCACCCACTATTGTGCTCACGTTCGCCCTGCTCCCCCACTTGTGCTCAACCCGCTGTGTCCTTTCTTGTGATCAATCTTCACCCTTTGCTCACCCAACTGTGCTCAATCCGCAGTGCTCGCACCAACCCCTGTGATCAACTGCCATGCTCACTACGTTGTACTCACACACCGTTGAGCTCATGTCTGCCCATATATGCTCACCTCCCTATGCTAAGACCCCGTGGGCTAACCACCTGTGTTGCCCTTCTCTGTCCTCACATCCCTATTATAACAGGACCCAATGCTCAAACGCACGTTCTCACTCTTCTTCTCTGCTCCCACATCTGTGCTTCCTTGGACTGTGTGCGTACCCTCGCTATGCTCACCCACCGTGCGCTCACCGGCCTGTGTTCACCATGCCTTCTGATCACCCCTCTCGGCTTACCCTGGACAGCGTTCTCATCCCTTCCACCTGTGTTCCACTCCGCGGTGCTCACGTCCCTGTGCACAGCGAACGACCTGTGCTCACGCTCTCCGTGCTGCTGCCTACCTGTGCTCAACTACCTGTGCTCGTAATTATTTTCCCAACCGCTGTGCTCTCGTCTGTGCTCAACCCTTTCCTCAGACCCCCAAATACTCCATCACCCTTCCCCCTGCTGACGCCACTTTCTGTATTCCTGCCCCGCTCTACCATCCCACCAGCCATGGTCGCACTCCCGCGGTGCCACCCCACCCTGTGCTCACCTCACTTTTGCTGAATGGCCTATAATCACATTCACTATGCTCACTTCGCGTGTTGCTACACCTCGGTGCTCACCACCATCCGCCCCGCCCTCAGCACCTACTTCCATCCCGTATTTACCATCACCCCGTGCACACAGGGACGAATGCTTACCCCCAACTGTGCTCCCTCCCCGTGTAATGAGCTCCATCCTGTCAGCTCAGCACTCCATTTTGCTCCCCCCTGTGATAATCTGTGCACAAACGCCTTCCATTTGCTCGCCTTCCCTTCTGTGTTCTATCACCACTCAAGCAACCAACCCCTCCTATATTCACCCCCATCCTGCACTGCCCTCTGTGCTCATTCAGTCTGTTCAAACTCCTGTGTTCAAACCCCTTACTTCACCATTTTGGTTACGCGAACTGTGCTCAATCTCCTGTACTCCTAACCCAGGCTCATTCCTCCTTAAGTTCTACTCTTCTTTGCTCACCCCCTGTGCCATCCTCCCTCTATAACTTGCACCTTTTGCTAAGCCCGCCTTTGCTCCCAAGCTCTGCGCTCAGTACCGTGCGCTTCCCACCACCACCTGAGCTCACCAACGCTCCTGTTCACCTCCACTGTGCTAACCGCCTTATTCGCAATCCAATTTGTGCTCAAACCCACCGTGGTTACCGCACTCTCCACCAGGACACCTCCCCCACCCGTCTTGAGTTATTTACCTGAGCAGATGACGCCGACATCATACGAAAATGACCCATAATAGTGACCCCCAGGTCCCAGAGCGACAATCCCTCAGGGCAGACTCGTTCCCTCAGCAACGAACACCATACGTTACAATTGGACCTAAGTTCCTCCTGAGTCTTCGCCATACTGAGCATCTCTTGGTGCTGACAGCGCTGCAAAGCGAGTGCTCTAACCACTGAGCTTCAGAACTCCACAGGACTACACGGTTTGTGTCAGTCTCCGAGTGCGTCTATTTGTAGCTCAGTCGCTGTGTGAGTTTGTGAGTCTACGTGCTTGTCTGGTTTTGGATGTACATATTGCAGTGTTCGTGCGCGTTTACAGATCAGTGTGTTTGTAGGTCAGTGTGAGTGTGATTGTGCATGAGAAAATCTGTGTGTGAGAGTATGTGTACGTGTGCAGGTCAATGTGTGTGTGTGGGTTTGGAGGGGGTTGTGGGTTGGGGGGTCGGCGCGTGTGGGAGGCGGTGGTTCTGTGTATGATATTGTGTGTTTTAGTATGTATACGTCTATGTGAGTCTGTGTGGGTCAGTGTGTGACAGTGTATGCGTATGTGAATGGGTGTGTTGCCGTACCCTCTCTCTTACCACTCTTACTTCCATACCAGAAGTGGTGATCCAATCGGCATCTATGTGAGTTCATCTCTATTTTTCTCTCTCTCTCTAACTCAAACATCACATTCCCAACCCACACCACACACCGCCCACTGTCACAACACGTGTCATATCCAAGAATCTGTACCAACTAAATGCTAAAACAGAGGAACAACAAGACATTTTATTCCGTACATCTAAGTCTGTGACGATTGACTCAAACAACGCGAGCGCATCACAGGACCGAATCAAATCTGCTGGTGGTGTTGCACTGTCGAAGATCACCCGCAATTTCTCTCTGCGGGTGATCCAGAAAATAACCCTCCAGATAAAGAGGTAGTGCGGCATAGAAAGAAAGTTTTCATGATGGAATAGAAACAGAGAGTATTATGTTCAGACTGGAGAGTGTGTGAGGAATGGAGCTTGACAAACGTGGATGTCAGGTGAGGCATAATAGATTGAGACCAGCAACACAGTCCTCGCGTATAACGGACCTCCCATAATTTTATACGCTTTATCTCGCAATAGTGTCTATCAACATAAGTTATTTCCTGGCACTCTGGGTTTTATTGTTGCGTTCTACAAACTGTCGGATGCAATTGAATTAATTAATCTCCAACATAAAATAATATAAAATGTTGATATACTGGAGCAAAACTGTACATTGTTTGATGTTTACTTCACTGCCCCAACCTCTATTAACAATGCTATAGAGTGCAGGTATGCGATAGTTGGTAGCAATGAGGATCACCCATGACCACACAGGTGCAGAATGGCCTCTCTACTCTCTGCCCTGAACCCCATGTTCCTGACAATCAGCCACGAGTACCCCTGAAGTTACAGGGACTGAAGACGCTCACAGTGACTGATGTGACACTGGTGCTAACAGTATAAAGCGCTGCCGTTCCTTCTCCAGCTCCGTCCAGTCATGTCACCATTACAGACCAGTCATGTCACCATTACAGTCGATTCATGCCACCATTAGAGTCGAGTCATTTCACCATTACAGGCCAGTCATGCCACCATTAGAGTCCAGTCATGCCACCATTAGAGTCCAGTCATGCCACCATTAGAGTCGAGTCATGTCACCATTACTATCCAGTCATGTCGCCATTACAGTCGAGTCATGTCACCATTACAGTCGAGTCATGTCACAATTACAGACCAGTCATGTCACCATTAAAGTCCAGTCATGTTACCATTATATTCAAGGCATGTCACCATTACAATCCAGTCATGTCACCATTAGAGTCAAGTCATGTTACCATTACAGTGCAGTCATGTCATTCTTAAAGTCCAGTCATATCACTATTATAATCCAGTCATGTCACCATTACAGACCAGTCATGCCACCATTGCTCTCCATTGGCTTCACAATTAAAGTCCAGTGATGTCACCGTTACAGACCATTCATGTTACCATCACAATCCTATAATGTCATGGATCTGTAATTCCAGTTAAGGTAAATCTGCACAAATCAATCTCGAACACCAAACGTGAGCTGAGTAATCAGTAAATTCAATACTGGAGCCAGCAGCCTGCAGACCTGAGACGTTAGGTACAGTCATTTGGGGCCACTAAGAAAGCTTATGCAAAATCAAACTGTTACATTTCATCATATCAAATTAATGCTTACTAAGTAATAACTACTGGTTAACAAATTTTACTGCAATGAGTTGATCGGATCAATGTAATGGCTTTGATGTATGAATCGATTGGATGTGCACACTCTCTCTGTACATTCAAACTCTTTCCACATCTTGCTGTCTCTCGCTGTCCTTTCATGCACGTTTGCACTCTTTCTCCCTCTCATTGTTACACTCTTTCACTCACTCAATTCGCCCCACCCTCACCCAAACATACTCTCTCTCAACTCTCAGATTCTCTGCTCTCTTCCTATCTCTTTATTTCCCTCACTATCTCCCTCTCTCTCACACTCTCCACCACAATCTATCTCTCAATCACGATCTCACTCTCCCCGTTTCAATCTCTTTCTCCTACCCTATTTCTCGCCTTATGCGAACCCCCAGTATCTCTCCCTGTGACACTCTCACTCTCAATCACTCTCTTCTTCTCTCCCATCACCACCTTTTTAAATTCTCAATCACACAGTATCATTCTGCTCCTCTCACAATCACTTTCATCCCCTCACTCTCAATTACTCTTTCACCATCCCTCACCCCTCTTTCGCATACGCACTCCGTTTCTGCCTTCTCATATTCTCTCTGCTTCACTCTATCCGTGCTCTCCCTTCTAAATTATTCTCTGAATTACGCAATAACATTTCTGATTCCAGCGTTCACCTTCACCCAATCTTGATTCTTCTCTCTCTCTCTCATTCCCTGACGCTCTCTCATTCAATCTCTCACCCTCTCACACACAGGATCTCATTCTATTATTTCCCTCTGTCTCACTGTTTCTGACTCAGTGTTTCACTCAATCTTACTCAATCAGTTTCTCTCTCACTCCGTCTTTCTTGCAGCCAGTCTCTCTCTCTCTCTTTCTTACTCCGTCTCTCACTCGGTCTCATTTAATCACTCAATCGCATTCAACCACAAACTCTCTCTCAGGCTCACTTATTTTCTCTCCCATTCTCAGTCCCTCTCTCAATCTCTCTCTACGTCTCACAAATTCAGTCTCTCTAACTCTCATTCAGTCTCTCGTTAATTTTGTCTCTCACGAAGTCTCTCAGGAAGTCTGTCATTCTTACTCCGTCTCTCACGAAGTCTCTCAGGAAGTCTCTCAGTCTTAAACCGTCTCTCCCTCGCTCCCTCTTCCGTAGTGTCTAACTCAGTCTCCATCCGGGTTAGGATGACACGTGATGTGAGAGCCCCGTTCATGTCAGACTAAAGCTGGAATCGAATATAGGTGATGGTGGGTTGATAGAGCCAGGACAGAAAGCAAATAATGGCCATTGGCCACCGCACTAAACTCTGACTGTGGCGTAGACAGCACCATCTTCCTCATCGGCTTCACGGCCTTCCTCATTTCTCTTTCCTATTGCTAAATTGGCGTAGATGATTTCAGCGTCCTGAAAACAGGCAAAAATTAGCACGTCTGCTGAAGATCAGATGGAAATCCCCCTCACCACAAACCCACCACCCAGAACACCCCGATTCACAGCTCCGGAATGTGAATCTTCCTGGGTGTGCACCCCACCCACAGCCCCAAGTATCCTACGGATGTGAACATTCCTGCAAAGGGGAACCGAACCCTGACAAATCCCCTCGTAAGTAATAGTGATGATAAAACCATGCATTTAGGAATTATTTCTGAGGTGAATGGCGCTGTTTGAGTGCAAAATTTAAACACACACACACAGACATACAGACTCGCCCATACAAAGACACGCGCACGCACACACTCTCACACACACACATACGCAGAAACACACACACACATTCACACAATCACACAAGTACACACACACAAGCACAGGCAAACAGAGAGACAAAGGCACACGCACAGACTGACGCAACCACATAGACAGACAGCCCGACATACACACACACACACACACGCGTTTCACGTTGGCAGAACAGCTCAAATAGGTATACAACATTTATTATCAATTGGACGAACTCCATAACCGAAACAAAACGCAGTACCCAAAATTTTGCACAGAAACGTCCTACAAACACACAGTCACCGCTGTGTGCAGTAAATCATGCTAAGCTCTTTGAGACATTTTCTTCATATAAATTATTTATAACAAATGCATGGATTATTATTATTTTTACGAAATGAGCTAACATTTTTTTTCGACCAGGAAATGAGGAGATTCTCCCTTCTTTTTCTCAGTATTGCTAAATTCCCGACTTTCGGGTTTGGCCCATGAATTTCTAGGTCAGGCGAAAAGTGCTACCGGCGAGCCAGAGTGACACAGAGCCTGAGCTGGGTTGAGCCAGATTGGCTTAAATCCTGAGCGAAAGTGACACATGGTCTGAATTAGGCTGAAACTAGGCATGAGCTGAGCTGCAGAGGACCTGAGTTGGGCTGAGAGAGGGAGTCCTATAGCTCAGTGGTTGAGCACTCGCTTTGCAAGCGAGAGACCTGAGTTCAATTCCAGGCAGAGGGCGAAACCTTGGGCAAGTTTCCTTACTCCACACAGAGCCTAATAAGTCCTATAGCTCAGTGGTTGAGCACTCGCTTTGCAAGCGAGAGACCTGAGTTCAATTCCAGGCAGAGGCGAAACCTTGGGCAAGTTTCCTTACTCCACACAGAGCCTAATAAATAATGGTACCGACACTACTCACCGCTGGAGGCATCGAGCGTGGAACAATTCTCACAGTTGCATCTGGAACAAACGGAAACGGGATTTTACCATCTCACTGCTGTTTGGTATTATTATTAAAGATATCAGTGATTACAATGAATAATTATGAATGACCATGACAATGATTATTAAGCAAAGAGTAATATATTATTAATCATTTCACTTGAATTAAATCCTTATCTCTACTTCAAAAAGTCCGAAAGCTGTCATAACATTGACGGTGCAGAGCATCAATTGTGTATTTTGCGAATGAAACACAGAAGCCGTTCGTGTCCAGCATCCACAGAAAGATACACACACACACAAACACGCACACAGTGTGTGAACGATTTTTGGTGGCGGACTGTTGGCCAGAGGGAGATTGTTGAGCGGGAAAGCCAAATTCACGTTTTTGAATAACGACGCTGGACCTTTAATGTCCACATGAACATTCAGAAGGGACCTCGATTTATCGTCTCATCTAAAGGAGAGAAAACTTCAAGCGGCTCAATTTGAGAGAAGCGATTGCAAGTCAGACACACAGATTTTTATGCCGACAGACAAACACACCGAAAAACACACAGAAAGACACACAGGCAGATCTAGATAGGAGAGTGGCAGAAACACAGGTCGACGCACAGTAAGTCACACAGACAGAATAAGAGAAGGTGAGTGGAGACAATCAGAAACATAGACTGAGAGAAAAGGCGAGAGACAGCTTCAGACAGCCTCTGGTATGCGAGACGCTCAGGTGCAAGTGATGAGTTTCTGAGGTGCTCGGGAACAGGGCTGACCAGGACTGTTTGTGACCAGCTCCTTTCACTCTGGACTCAAAGCCAGGAAACCAATTGCTTACATGTGACGCTGCTGTTTTGTGGGCCGCCTCCCATGGGTACATTCCTAAGGNAAAAAAGAGCAGAGGGCGATTAATTACTGCTGTTCTACTGATGATATTTAGAGAGCTCAGAACTATGCTTGAAACGGAGCTAAACACCAAATATTGTCTCTCATCTGGCGGAAAGTACCGCGAAATGGCACTGACAGAAATACTCTTGAAGGAGCATCATCACAGTCATGTGGGGTCGAATCGCCGCTTTCTGTCCTGTCGCTGTCTCTGGTGCTACAGTTGGAAAAAGCAGCAGAAAGTTTGCCAGACGGTGATTTCAAAAGCTGGTAAAATGGCAGATCCCTGACTTGGAGAGAGTAAATTTTGGTAACTGGTTTCTGTGATATATAGAGCCCGATGACAAAAAAAATCTGTGTGTGGGTGTAGCGGGGGGCGGGATTGGGGCACGGCTAGATTTGTGCTGAAAACTATCACCACGGTAACAGGTATCCACACCAGACGTTGAGTTCCAGTCATGCCTCCGACCCTTGGAAATTGCTGTGTTTCTGATGTTCATGCAGTAGCTCTGCCAACCTGATCGCAATGAGCCCAAGAGTCAGGATGGCGAGAGTAAATGTTTGTCGACCTCAACGTGTGCATTGGGGTAAAGGCTGGGGTCTCAATACTTAAAATCACAAAGCTTGCTATTTGGTGCTCTCTCTGGCAAGCTATGTCTGCCAGTCGTGATTGAACCAATCAACCCGTTAGGGATACTTCTTGCAAGGAAACAGAAGCTGAGTGGGAGGTATACTTGCCCACGGTATCTGTCTGCCCTCCAAGTCTTGCCGATGAGGGTGGGAGTGAGCACCAGTGCAGACAATATGGGGAGAGAGCATGGAATGGGATTAAATTGGAAATGGTCAGTGGGGTTCGAGAAGCAGCATAGCAACGCTGGGGTGAGAACAGGAATTTAAATACTGTAACGATCTCCATTGGGGATGGCAGCACCTGCACAGGCAGGATGGGAAGTGAGCATGGAAGAGTGGAGAAATATCCTCACCTTTCCATTATTCGACTGTTCTGTTTACCTGTAAGTACAAAACGTAATAAGTACCAATTACTAGTTAACACTAGTTGTATATTTTTGTGGTTTTACGGTTAGTAATATCCCCTTTTCATCCGGCGTCAAAAGGGCTTGACAGGGATGGTTAGCAAGAGCAGAACCCAACCAAACCCCCACACACTAATGCCATCATTGGATTTGCCTTCAACCACTCCGCCGCGCGCTCTCTCCAAATACGTTCCAGACACCTCGCATATTAACTCAAGAGTGTCCCAACAGAGAGCCATAGAATGAGTGACCAATTTTATTTTGGGGATTGTTGGCCAGGATACGAGGATAATCTCCATCATGTTGTCGATTGGTGCCACAGGATCTGCATTGTCCATATGATCAGACACTCGGGACCTCTGTTTAACGGTCTCACGGGTGGTACAGGCGGAAAAAACATAACAGTAAACAAAGAGTCTCAAACTACAATACGTTCTGTACTGTATTGCAAACAATCATGTCAATCAACAACAATAATTTGGATGTATAATGCGTGCTCCACGCCACATGGCGTCTCAGCTCGCTTCACAGTAACGGAAACCGGGGCCGAGCCAAAGGGAGGGGGAAGAAGTTGAACAAAGTCGCGGTGGAAAAGAAAGATCTTCAGCCGAGACCTCAAAATAGGAAGAGAGGGGACGATGCGAAGGGAGTGAGGAAGGGAGCTCCAGATTTACAAGCCAAGATGATCCTCGACTATAGCCTGTAACCCCACTAATGTAACGTTATCTAACTTAAGTATAAAAATGCCCATTACAGATTACGCTGACATATTCGTTGACTTTTCTTCCTAAATCAGAATCATGATGTTGTATATTCGCTTCCAATAATACATGAGTTGACAAACACCGAAGACTGATTCGGTACCTTTGTGCTCAGTTCTCCACCTGCACTCATTGTCGAAGAAGATTAGCAATACACAATTACTTTCACTTCCTTTATTCCCAGTAACTTTAAACTGTACTGACTGATATCTATGACTACATTAATTAATTAATTCCTTTATTCATTTATCATATGCTGTATTCAATGACATCAATAGCCACTTACCTCTCTTACGCACGCAGAATCCCAGTATAAACACAGTGATCACCAACGCTGTGACAATCCCCAATGTAATTCCTGAAGTTTGCTCCCTGGTCCAGCTTGCTAAGGACATAAATGGACAGGGAGTAATTTGTCAACTTTGAGGAGTTAATATGCGGGTAAAGCTCATCATTTTAAAGAACTCGCTTCAGTTTAATCTCCTCCTGATTTGAAAGTGCTATGGAAATTAATATTTGCTCTGTTGCAATGAAAATAGCCAATTTCGCATAGACAGCCCTCAAGAGTAAAACGTGTCGTCCGCTGACCCTGGGAAGCGGGAGCTAAGCGGGGACTCTTTGGATTCTGTGCCGGTGACCTGCCAAACTGTTGAAGATCGCGATTGAGTCTAAACTTGATGGTAGTCTCCAGTTAACCTCGGAGCCAGGCGGGTCCGTAATATTGAAGGGTACTGCGGAAAACACAACACTCGAGCCTGGCTCATAGGCAAGAGTTGAGAGGAACATTGGTCACTGGGCGTTGGGATACTTTGACTTGGCATTAATAGTGAAAGTCAACTTGACCGGGTGTTCCTCGCTGGAGTGGAAGGGGTTTATGTACCACATTGCGCTCAATGACAAGCTGTTTGGTGTCGTTGGTTAAAGAACAGCTGTATTCGCGTAAACTGTTTTACCGCGGGAGTTGGTTTCCGTTCGGGGTCAAACACTCTACCAAACACCGGGAAATCAAACGGAAATAAGTTCGGTGGTTTAAAGTATGGTTCCAACAGGAGCTGCTGTAAATGTTCAAAATGCAACCAGTTATTCTGTGAGATTTTAGTGAGTTCTTACCCCGCTCAGAGATTCCCAATCGCTCGCTCTCTGGTGAAGCGAACCGTCGTCCGTCTAAATACGCAGTATATGTACACGTGTAGTTTCCTGCCATGATCTCCGATGGGATGAATATTGCCGTGTTGATATTCTCTGGAGCTGGTTGTGTTGTGATAAATTCACCGTCTCTGTATAAAGAGAAATTGCTGCCAGGATAATTCCCAGAGCACGAGATCTCAGCACTTTCCCCTCTCACAAACCACCGGAAATCTGGTTTCATGGAAATGTTGGGTTTCTGGAGCGAATCTGGAATTAAAACACTGTATAGGTAACCTCACAAAGGATCGCTGTGTGTCACGAAAACAGATCAGGACAATGTAAATGTGACTATTTGTTAGGTTCTCTGTCCGGAGGAGGCTTCAGGACGAGGGGCAGGGTTTGAGCGGCAGATTCAGGACAGACACCAGCTTGTATTTCTTCAAACAGAGGGAGAGGCGGCATCGGCTGGGAGCGGGGTGGCTACGGAGGGCGAGGTTCTGGGGAAACATACATTCCCAGTGTTTGACGGGATTTCAGTTTGAACCTCTCCTGTGATTTTCAGCAGCGTTTTAAAACAACAGGTTGAGATCACAACCGAGCGATCCAACAAAAAAATAAGAAGCAAGTGAATCACACAGTGGGAAAGGTGATCCTGGAACTCGCTGCCTGAAGCTTGGATTGAATCAGATCGTCAAGATACAATCAAGACATAGTGAGACATTCACACGACCGAAAGTGGACTACAGTTTCTTGAAGGGTATGGGGCTGTTTTATGGAATGAGGCAGAGGTGAATACAAGATTTGGGAGGGAGATAGAGTGAGCGATGGAGAAACAGTCGCTACGGGAGTAATAGAGGGTTTGAGAGGCATTAAAACTGTGTGTGCGTATCATGGTATGGGAGGATATGAGAGTGAGGTACTGAGAGTAAAATTGAGATTCTGGGAGGGAGACAGCTTTACGAAGTTTGTGTGTAGAATTGAATGAAGTCGTCAGCTGGAGGGTGGATGGGAGAAATGGGGACAGGTCCGTGTCACAAAGCTAGTGAGACAAGATAATTATTTTGTGAGGCAATTGTTCCTGTGAGAGAGAAAAGTAGCGGTGGAGTGGGATTGAAACGGATAAATCTTTTCTGAAAGTCGACACAGATGTGCTGTACAGTTATATAATATATAGAAGAGGGAGAATGTGGTGCTGTGATCGCGGTGACTGGGCAATAAGGGGCAGTGAGTGACCACTGGTGAGAGAGTCCAGGCTCCTGCTCTTACCCCACACAAAGATTCCCATTCGGTTGCTCTCCGGTGATGTGAATTCACGTCCTTCTATGTTCGAAATATAAAAACACGTGTAGTTTCCTGCAATGATCTCCGATAGGTTGAATGTGGCTGTATGGCTATATTCTGGAGCTGTTTGTGACCTGATAAACTCGCAATCTCTGAAGAAAAAGAAATTGCTACCTGGATAATTCCCAGAACATGAGATAACAGCACTTTCGCCTCTCACAAACACCTCGGAATCTGACTGCAGGTAAATGTTGGGATTCTGGAGCGGACCTGAAATGAAAACACAGCAAAGATAATCTCACAACGACTCGCTCCGTGACACGGACATGGATCAGGTTACAGTGAACTAGAATATTTGCGTGTTTCCTGGCCTTTACGAGGCATCGGGAAGAGTCGGTGGGGTGAGTGTTTCAGTGGCAGGTGCAATAAAGAACCCAGCTAGTGTCTCTTTATACAGAGCAAGTCTTGGTGGGGAGCGAGGTGGCCAGGGAGGGCAATGCGGTCAGGGAAAGGGGTAACACACAGTTCCAGCCTGGGCAGGAATAAAGTATGAACTTTTCGTGTAATATTCAGATGTGTCTTTAAAAACATTCAAATGGCAGCCAGAACTTCACAAGAGGGCGATTAACTGCAGCACATCAAGTTACATGGAGATGCGTTTGACAACAGAATACTAGATTTGGTCTCTAGTCCTGTTCCTGGCCAGTCGAGTCCGTGGTATTTCAGAGAAAGTCTGAAGACGGCACTGATCAGCACGTTTACCATCAGGATCGGGGTGAGTGGCGGGATTGTTTGTTGGGATTAAGGATAGCAAATAGGGAATAGGGCAGGAAAGGGGCTAGCAAGAGCGTGTAGGAGTAAAAGAGGCGCCTGTAAGGGAGGGAGGAGAGGGGGTTAAGATAATAGAGAGATTTCAAGGAGAGAGATAGCAAATGGAGGAAGAGAAGGGGAGGAGAGTGAGCGAGCGAACGGGACAGAGGGCAAAGAGGGTGGAGTGAGGGGAAGAGTGGTGCAACAAAGGTGTAATAGAGGTATAAGTAAGGAGGGATGGACTGGGGGAGAAGGAGTCGGGGGGAGGGAGACTGGGAAATGGGGCAGAGAGGGAGAGAGGGAGAGGATAGATGAGAGGGCAAACGGCTGGTGAAGGGGTTAAAGTTTGGGGGAGAGGGGAAGCAGAATATGTTGGCGTGGAGAAAGTGGGACACGGAGCACCAGAAGATAACATGTATACATGATCGATGTTGTAAAGAATGGTAATAAAAGGGACTGCTGTAAATGGTCAAAAGACAAATAAGTTAATATGTAAGATTTCAATCAGCTCTTACCCCACACAGAGATTCCAACTCGGTCGCTCACTGGTGATATGAACTCTCGGCCGTCTACGTGTTTTTTATAATTACACGAGTAATTTCCTGCCCTGATCTCCAATGGGGTGAATATGGCCGTGTGGTTATTCTCTAGAGCTGGTTGTGATGTGATAAGCTCTCCGTCTCGGTATAAAGAAAAATTGCTGCCAGGATAATTCCCAGCACATGAGATCTCTGCGCTTTCCCCTCTCACAAACACCAGGAAATCTGGCTTCACGGAAATGGTGGCTTTCTGGAGCGGATCTGGAATTACAACACAGTAAAGACATACTCAAAAACACTCGCTCTGGTATTTGATCTCCGATTATAGAAGAAGTCACAATTTGCTTGCTTATCATGGTGAGGGTTTGAGGCAGAGGTGCAGAAGAGAATCCAGCGTGTGGTTCTTTACAAAGAGATGTGTGAGGGGGGGTACGGGGGACGAGCGACGCTAAAACCGCGGTGGCGATGGAGAGCAGTAAGGCTGGGATAACACACAGGTCCAGCCTGGGACGGGAGGAAGGGAATTCAGTCTGAAAGTCTCGTGTTTCTAAACAGGAGAAGATCAGAACCAGGCGATCAAAGGAGAATTGAGGAGCAAGAGCTTCACATAGGGAAGTGAACTTGTGGAACTCGCTGCCGGAAGCAATGATTCAATGAGATAGTGTAGATGCATTCAAGAAGGATTGAGACCTTTGCATTATTTAGTGGGGATTTGAAGGTTTTGAAGACAGTGGGTGTTTGATTGAATGAGGGAGAGGGAAATAGAAGGTTTGGCGGGGTGTTATCGGTGGGAGGGAGGAACAGACGGTGTGAAAAAACAGAGGCAATGACATTGTGGGAGGTTACACGTTGTGGGAGTGTATCCGGGTGTGGGACGAAGGGAGGAATGGAGACTGTGGGAGGAAGTGAGGATGAGGTAGGTTTTGTGTGAGAGGGATTGGGGGCGTCAGCTGGTGGGAGGAAGGAGGAATTTGGTGAAAGTCGTGTCACATAGTGAGTAAAGGAAGATAATTATTTGGGTTGGAAAAGCTTCCATTGCTGTAGGGGAGAGCTGGTGAGTTGCACTGAATCTGATAGTTGTTTTCAAAGAGCCGTCGCAGACACGACAGGCTGAATGGCCTCCGTCCCTGTTTACAATTCTATGATTTTATAAAGAAATGTTTGGATGGTGCGGAGGCGTGCTGTGATCGCAGTGACACTAGGTGCTACTGAGTGTCCTTTGCTGAAGTAGTCCGTACTCTTGATCTCACCCAAACACAGTGATTCCCACTCGAGCGCTCCCTGGTGATGTGAGCTCGCGGGCGTCAATATGTATAGTATATTTACGGAAATAATTTCCTGCACAGATCTTTGATGGGGTGAATGTTGACTTGTTGTTTTGCTTTGGATATAGTTGTGTTGTGATAAATTCGCATTCTCTGTATAAAGTGAAACTGCGGCCAGGATAATACCCAGAGAATGAGATCGCAGCGTGTTCCCCTTTCACAAACACCAGGGAATCTGGCTTCAGGAAAAAGGATGGGTTTCTGCATCGGAGCTGGAATTTAAACGATAATTGCAAATACTCACACCGTGAGATGAACACAGGAGAAGTTACCATTTGTTGTTGAGGGGCAGATTCAGGACAGACCACATCTATTGTTTCTTTACAGAGAGGAAGTGAGGCGCAAAGTGTAGGAACGGGTGGCCATGGAGGGCAGTGGACTGCTGTAACATACAACTGCATCCATGCACAGGAGAATCGGAATTCAGTCTGAACGTCTCCTGTGATCTTCAGATGTGTTTATCAACAACAGGATAATATCACGATCAGTTGGTCAAACAGAGAATTTAGGAGTAACGACTTCACTCAGATTGGAGTGAGATTGTGGGACGCGCTGCCTGAAACACACTGGAATCAACTAGTCTGGATACGTTCAAGAGGAAGCCAGACCTTCACAGGAGTGTGAGGGGAATAGAGGATGCTGGATGGAGGAAGCGTGTGGGAATGAATCGGTGGGTGGAATGAAGCAACATAGTGTAGGGGAGGGTGGGCGTAGAGAATCAGGGAAAGGTGAATAGAGCGCGTGTGAGGAAGGCAGTTTGTGTATAGAGGGGAATAGGGGACAGGGAGGAAGTGGGGAGAGGGGAATAGTATGTGTGGAAGGAAGGGGAATGTAGAGTGTGAGAGGGAGGCAGGGAGAAATAGAGGTTTGGGGGAAGAGTGCAGGAGGGAGTGAAGGAGGGAGTTATGAATAAAGTGTGTGGAGAGAAAAAATAGAGGGTGAAAGGAGCAAGGAGGGAAGGGGAGAATCTCGAATCAAAGAGCGAACCATACAAGAGGGTGGGGAGTCGGTCGTGCTGTGATGGATGTGATTGGACACAATTTGGCAATGATTGACCCTTGTTTGTGAGAGACAAGATAATCGTTCCTACCCAATACAGAGATTCCCACGCGTTCGCTCTCTGGTGATGTGCGCTCTCGTCCGTCCATTGATTCAATATATTCACACCAGTAATGTCCTGCGCTGATCTCCGATGGGGTGAATGTGACCATGTTATGAATCTTTGGCGCTAGTTCTGATTTGATAATCTTGCCGTCTCTGTAGAAAGTGAATTTGCTGCCAGGATAATTCCCAGAACACGAGATCTCAGCGCTTTCTCCTTTCACAAACATCCGAGAATCTGGCTTCAGGGAAATTGTGGGTTTCTGAAACGAATCTGTGAACAAAAGACAGCGAAGATAATCTCACAATCACTCGCACTGATCTTTGATGTGACATCGAACAACAGGATCGACAATGAGCACAGCGTCAGCCTGAGAAACTGTTCTGTCTGAGATTCAATACGAAGCAGAAATGTGGACTGATTTTAACCCGGGTCTCGATTGTACGCATAATTTGAGCTGCAATTGAACACTTGTCTATGAGCTCAGTGTCAGCTCGGGGTCAGTGTCAGCTTACAGTCAGTGTGAGCTCGGCGGGCTTGTTCCCTCTTCTGTCTGTCCAGGTAGAGTTTACAGTTTTCGGTGTCATATTCAAAACCAGAAGGGAATTTTACTTGGAGACTTGGAATAGGAACCTTTGGCTCAAATTATTATCGATATTATTGGACGTGGTTTTAAACATCTGGTTTTCGAGAGCTACACATTCAAAGCCTTGGGGCGCCCACCTGATGGGAGCAGCGATGGTGAATTATGGTTGATGTGTTGTTCTCAGTCACGCCACTGTTTAGCTATCAATAGTCACAAATCAATAGAACCAGAACATGTACATCCCCGTTGAGCAGCTCCACACACTGTCATAAGCCCTTCCCCCTGTAATCAACTCCGCACCCACCACCGCCCTGTGTTCAGCTTCTCGCCCTGATATAAATCCCTCAGTTACTGTCCTCAATCTCTCTCCCTGTTCCCAGCACCTCCTAATTTGTTCAGCCCCGCACCCTGTTCCCAAACCCCACTGTGACAGGTCCCTCCTCGAGTGCTCAGTGATAAGCATCTCTCCCTCTGATCAGCCTCTCCCGCTCTACTCTGCTCTTCCTCCTGTGATAAATCATTAACTCCTGTGCTCATTCTTACACTCTGGGATCAGCCCCTCCCACTGTGATCAGCGCCTACTCCTTTGCTCAGACACATCTGCTGCGTTCAGCCCCCTCGAGTCGTCAACCATCCTCTTCTTAGCCCTGTATGTTCACCCCACGCAACAAACCCAACACCCCACACTCCTGTCGTCCAGTCACCTCCCTGTGCTCCAGCCTCAACAACAACAACAACTCCTCCCGACGTGACAGGCGCTCTATAAACGCAATATTGTTGTTGTTGTTGTTGCTCAACCACTGTGTTCAACGCTGTTCCCATCCCTTGTGCTCACATCCGTTGCTCACCCCGACGCAAGTGCACTCTGCCTTGCCCGCCAACATTTTGTTCAGCCTCTGTGCTCACCCATGTTCTGCTCACCTTCGGTGATCACCACGCCTGTGATAGCACCCTGTGCTCAGCGCATCTGAGCTCACAACCTGTGTTCAAAACCTGTGTTAACACCCACCCCCATCCTGTGCTCACCTCGACTGTGCTAACCAGCACTTTGCTCACATCCTGTGACACCCCACTGTTCTCACCCGCTTTGTACACCCACTGTGCTCACCTGTCCTTTTCTCCCCCACTCCATGCGATCTCTTCCACGCGTGATCATCCATTATGTGCTCACCATCTCTGCTCAACCCCTCTGCTCACTGCCTCTTATCACTCTCTCTGCTCAACCCTCTTCTCAAAATTTCTGCTGAACAACCAGTGCTCAACTCCCCTGGTTTCATCCCACACCGTGCTCAACCTCAGTGCTCACACACCCCGTGCTCACACACCAAAGTGCTCAAGCTTCTTGGGCTCAACACAACTGGGCTCTGCCCCTCTTCTGCTAACAATCCACTGTGATAAGCCATCTCACTGCGCATAAACCATGAGCTCAGCCCCTGTGCTCAGCCTCTGACATCACCCCCATGATATCCCCATGTGCCCACACACCTTGTGTTCATACCCCACCCCAGATAACCAATGCGTACATACATGGTGGTCACCCTTGTGCTCAAAACTGGGCTCACAATTACTGTGCTCATCCTTGTACTCAGCCGACCCCTATGCCCCCCCGAACCTATGCTCCCTCTTTGATACAGGGGCTGACAACTCCTCTGCTCAACCCGCCATCTTTGAGCACACCCCCACCCTGTGCTCAATCCGTACGTTCACTCTCCTGTACCCAGCGTTTTGTGCTCCGGACCCTGTGCTCACACCCACTTGGCTGAAACTCGGTCCCCCACCACTATGCTCAAGTCTCCTGTAGCTCCACACGCCTTATTGTGCTCACCTCCCCTGTAGCTCCAAACCCTCACTCTACTTACGCCCCGTCCCGTTGTGCTCATCTCCGCTGCTCACCTCATATGCTCACTCCATCTGCTCATTCCCCCGTGCTCACCCGCCCTGCGCTCAATTTCTTTGTGCTCCAACCCCTGTGCTCAACCAATCGTATGCTCACCTCTCCCTGTGCTCAGCCTCTCACTGTGCTTAGCCTGCCTTGTGCTCTCCTCTCTGTGCCTATCACACTGAGCTCAGCCCAATGTTTACACACATTGTACGCCCTTCCATAGCTCCACAACCATGTGTTCACATCCGATGTGCTCACATCCCGTGTATTCACATCCCCTGTGCTCACATCCCTGCCCCTTACTGTGCAAACTACTCTTTCTTCCCACAGCATACCCTGTGTTCAAACCTGTGCTCACCAAAACCTTTAATCAGTCACCTTCCTGTGCTGAAGCACCACCTGTGCTCAGCTCCCTTTGCTCAATCCCCTGTGCTCTGCCCCTCTGCTCACCACCCATTGTGCTCTCCAACACCTGTCCTAACCGACTCCGAGCTCAAAATCCCTACTTGTGCTCATTCAACAAGAACTGTCTGCTCAGAACTTATCCTCATCCCCGTATGCTCACCACCCCACTGTGCTCACCCGAACATGCACATCACTACCACTGTAATCAATCCCCTTTGCTCACCCACTCTTCGCTGAACACCTTACCTGCGCACACTCACTGTGCTCAGCCCCTCTTTGATGAACCCATTACCCATGCACAAACTTTGTGCTCACAATCCTTTCCTCGCACCTCTTGCTCACACACCCTGTGCTCACATATCCTGCTTACACTGCCTCTGCTCCCCTCTCCTCTTCCTCACCCCCTTCCTTTGTTCATACCTCTGTGCTCAGTTTCCTGTGCTCACCGTGTTCTGAAATTACCGTGTTAAATCCCCTGGGCTGAGGCGTCTGTGCTAAAACCCCTGTGCTCACAACCACCTGGGCTCACCAGGCCCTGTGCTCACCCGATTCTTATGTTCACTACCTATATGCTCAGGCCTGGGTCTCAACCCCCGTTATCACAACCCACTATGCTCACTTGTACTCATCACCATTGTGCTCATCCCGTGTGCTCAACTCCCAGTGCTTACCCCATTTGCATCGTCTCCTCACCGTGCCTACACCGTCCTATGTTCACCAGCTCTGTGCTGCCACATTTACGTTCCTCCCACCCTGTAACCATACCCCATGCTCAGCACCGCACTGAGCTCAAACCACCCTCCTTGCTCATCCCCACTGTGAACAGTCCCTGTGATCACACCCTGTATAACGGCCCTCAAGCTCCACTACTCTTTTCCTCACCCGCTACACAATGTGCTCACATGTTAGTGCTCATCATCCTGTTCGCTGAGCTACTTCGCTTTGCTCACACCACAGTGCCCGCCTCCTGTCTTTCTCCATCGTGTGCTGAACACCCTGTGGTCAACAGCGACTATACTCACCTGGCATTTGCAATCACACCACGGTAATAATAATAATATAATAATCCTTGCATTTGATATAGCGCTTTTCACGTCGGGAGGACGTCCCAAAGCGCTTCACAGAACACACTGTAAAGTGAATTGACTGTATATTTATGGGCGAACGCGGCAGCCAATCGCGCACATCAATGTCCCACAAAGAGTCGTAGATTGAAAATGACCAATTTATTTTTGTTTTGGGTTTTTGGAGGGATTATTATTAGGCTCTGTGTGGAGTAAGCAAACTTGCCCGAGGTTTCGCCCTCTGCCTGGAATTGAACTCGGGTCTCTCACTTGCAAAGCGAGTGCTCTAACAACTGAGCTACAGGACTCACTCACTTCCCTTGAGCAGAATCCCCTGTGCTGAACCCCTGTGCTCAACACACCTTTGCTGAACACACCTGTGCTGACCCACCCCGTGTTGAAAACACCTGCGCTCCCGCCCACTGTGCTGACACACTCTGTGTTCATCCACCTGTGCTCATCTGCAGCTTTGCTCAGCCGCCTCCATCTGCATACATCCCCTGTGCTCACAGCCCCTACTCACACCCCGGGTACCTTCACTGTGCTCAATCCTCTTGTTGCTCACCCTTTGTGCTCCGCGCCCTGGGCTCAACACAAACTTTTCTCAGTCTTATCGCTGTGCTCAGGCTCATGGTCGGGCCTTCAGCCTCTCAGCCCCGAGGCTCTGGAACTCTATCCCCAGTGCCTTCGCCGCTTCCTCCCTTTCCTCCTTCAAGGCCGGTCTCAAGACCTTTCTCTTTGACCGTGCCTTCAGCTCCCTCTCGACTCTCTTCCTCCTCCTCGCTCCCTCCCTTCCTCCCCCTCCCCTGACCATTTCCCCCTCCTCCCTCCTTCCCTCCCTCCCCTGACCATTTCCCCCCTCCTCCCTCCTCCCTCACCTGACCATTTCCCCAATGCTCGGGTCATGACCCAACTGTGCAGCGCCTTGGGACGTCCTCTTGACGTGAAAGGCGCTTTATAAATGGAATCTTGTTGTTGTTGTTGTTGTTGTTGTCATGTGCGCTCTCCCTTATTTTCTCCGCCGCATCCTTATGCATCCCTCAAGACCTATTTGCTGCAAAATTCCGTGCTTCCACTCCCAATTTGTTCCCACGCTGCGCTCAAACCCCACCACCACGCGATCCCGCACTCCCATCATCCCATACCGGGTTCAACACGCGAACCCCCAACCCACTGCCTCCCCCCCCCACCCCTCATTTCCGCCATCTGGCTACCCCAATTTACTCAGCTCCCTCTGCTCAAACCTTTGTGTTTTCATACCTGTGGAAGCCCCTGTGCTCTCCCATCTGTTTTCACCCACATGTGGTTCACCACCATTTGCCCACTCCCACTGTTCTCTCACCCACTGCTATCACCCCTATGTGCTCACCTCCCTAAGATCACTTCCCATTTGCTTACTCTCACTGTGCTACCCACACTCTTTTCTGCACTCGCCC